TGGAGTCGACCCCGTTGACTAATGGCATGTTGGCATCACTAGTGGTGACATCGACTCTTCAAGGGAGGATAGTTGCCGAGCAACCGAACGATCGTTTTCTGCGCGCGGATGAGAGAGTTGATGGAGGCCCTCAAGGTTGGAGGTTTCGCAGTTGCACCCGATGGGCCTTTGGTCTTCGTAGGGAAACTTTGTGTCCCGAAGGTGTGGGAGCTGCAGAAGGAGATCTTGAGAGAGGCACATAGTGCCCCGTACACTGTTCATCTCGGGAGTACAAAGGGCTATCAGGACTTAAAGAAGTCCTTCTGGTGGAGATGTATAAAACGGAAGGTGGTGAGATTTGTAAAGAGTTGTTTGGTGTGTCAGCGAATGAAGGCTGAACACCAACGGCCGCCCGGTCAGCTCCATGCATTGTATATTCCTCAGTGGAAGTTGGAGAAGATCACGATGGATTTCGTGGTTGGCTTACTGAGGTCGAGGTCTGGGAAGGATGCTATTTGGGTGATTGTGGACCGACTGACTAAGTCGGCACATTTCCTACCGGTGACCATGGTGATGACTATGGAGCAATACTCGAAGTTGTACATTAGTGAGATAGTACGACTCCATGGGGTGCCTGTTGAGATTGTATCCGACCGAGACCCCCGTTTTACCGGGCAGTTTTGGAGGAGTTTGCACTTAGCCCTGGGGACGAACTTGGCTTTTAGTACCGCTTTTCACCCCAAGACCGACAGGCAGTCCGAGCGCATCATCGGGTATCTAGAGGACCTTTTGAGGCTGGTGGTGCTCGATAGGGGTGTGTCCTAGGAGGAGTCGCTGAAGCTGGTCGAGTTGGCCTATAACAAGAGTTATCAGGCATCAATCAAAATGGCGTCGTACGAGGCATTGTACGGGCGCAAGGTTAGGACTCCTTTATATTAGGACGAGGTCGGTGAAAGAAGAATTTTGGGTCTGGAGATGATCCAGAAAGAAGCACCACAGGTTGAGTTGATCCGGAAGACGATCAAGACCGCCCAGGACCTACAGAAGTCCTACGCTAAAAAGCATAGGAAAGCTCTGGAGTTTGAGGTAGGGGATCATGTCTTCTTGAAGTTCTCACTGATGAAGGGCGTGTTTCGCTTCGGGATGAGGCGGAAACTTAAGCCTCGCTTTATCGGACCGTTCTAGATTCTCCAGCGAGTCGGCGACTTAGCCTACCGGCTGGCTTTGCCACCCAACTTGTCGGGGGTGCACGATGTATTCCATGTCTCGATGTTGCGGAGATATGCATGACCCCGAGCATGTGGTGGACTTTAGCGAGTTGCAGGTCGACCGAAACCTTACCTATCTGGAGGTACCGATTGCAGTATTGAACCGTAAGGTTCATCAGCTGAGGAATCGGGCTATTGATCTCGTAAAGGTGCAGTGGAGCCAGCATGGCGAGGACGAGGCTACTTGGGAGAGGGAGGTCGATATTCGGAGGAAATACCCGAACTTCGTGTTCTGAGTGGGTTTCCCTTGTATTTTGATTGTACCATGATTTTTCCATAGTTGGGTTTGTTTTATTTTTATTTCCGGAGACGAAAATCTTTTCAGGAGGATAGAATGTAGCGTCCCGTTCGTTTATTAGAATTTCTGGATTTTTATATTATTATTTATTTGCTTATATTGAATATTTTTGCCTTGTTTTATTTATTTGTCGGGTATGATATTAATTGCTCGTCTCATTTATCTGCTTATTATAGAATTGTTGTGACTTGGTTATATGGTTATTATGTGTTTAACTGTTATTTATATGTACTAGAATTTTTAGGATTTATTTGATATAAATTTAAATTTTTTTGGCTTATTTTCGGTTATATCGCGTAATATTAATTTCGAGCCGATTCGACCCATTTTGGTGCTTTTAAATCCGAAGCTTGGAAGTTTAAATTTCCGCCAAGTTGATTTATCTTCCAACCCAAATGAGATATATTTTTCCTTGGCCCATTCATGAGTATTAATTCCTTGGTCCAAATGAAGTTCAATTTTTGACCCTTTCTTTTCTTACGCGCAGACCGAGTCCTTCTCCTTCCTTCAGTACCGTTCGAAATCCTGTTGTGATTTTGACGATGGATTTTTTTGCACATTCCTCGTCTATCCCTCATATATCTACCTGATCAAGAGCCTTCCTCTCCCCTCATCAGAATCACTCGAAATCACCCTCACTCTCTGCTCTCATCTTCCTCGCAGCATTTAAAAAAAAAAAAATAATTATTTGCCATCGCCATTGTTTCTAGCGAGTTCTCCTGCAACCGAGTTCCCGGCGACCACCATCCTCACCAGACGTCCAAACCGCTAGCCAACAGACATCCGTCATCCGTTTTCCCGAACAGAGTTCCAGCCTCCATCCACCATTAATTCCGGCGAACATCTCCGACAACCTGTCCTTCTCCGTTCGTTACTCGGATTAGGCCGCCGTTCGTCGTGAGAATCTGTCCGTCCGCGTGCCAGCTGTGTCAAGTCCATGTGTTCGACAGTTTCGAGTTTTGAGGCCCGTTTGTTCGATTGTTCGGCCTGTTCGTCCGACTCGTTTTCAGAGATCTCGTAGATTCACGAAGACGGATAAATTCTTTCGTACCCTCTTCAGTTATTCCTGCGTGTTTTAATAATACGTTGATTATATCGTGCTCGTTTATTCGTTGGTTATCGGCTCGTATAATCATTTTGTTTGTCGGATTATGATTCATGAATTTTATCGTGGAATTACGGGACTCTCGTTCGTATAATCGAGCTCTTTGATTTGCTGTGATTAATTCGTTAAGTGCGGAGTCTCGTTTTGTTGTTTCGAGCCTTTCCGTCGCCGTTGTTTGTTTTCGAGCCGTATTATGTCGTTTCGTTTTTTGGTCCAAAAACCCAGTTTTTCTAAAATTCTGAAGCTCTGAAAATGTGTTATTTTTCGTAAAATTTTAATTTATCGAACCCAGTTACCGAAGAGTCAGAATCGTCGAGGATATGCTGCTATCGGAAATTTGTTGCTCAGCCCCTGTTCGCATTTTTTTTCTTCTGCTCGTTCATGCTCTGTTTTCTTTTTCTTTCTGGTTCGCAGATGTGAATAGGCGGGGGTCTGGGCCATCCTTTTTGTTCAATTCATGAACAGACACACTTAGGATAATTTCACCCACAGCCCAGTATGCCAAATTTCTTTTTAGTTATTTATTATTCAACCCACTAAGGCCCAATTAGGGCGCATAGCCCAGCGGAGGAGCAGAAGTAGGCGCGCGGGCCGTATGGCTCGCTGTCAGCCCGCGCTCACCGATGCCCTCACAGCGCTAAACCCGCAGAAGCCCGCGCCCTGGCCCACGTTCTCCCTAGTCCTGGCCCGCGAGAGGCCCATCCCAGCCCGCATGCCCCCAGCCTGTTTGAGGCCCAGTTGTGCATATGTGCGGCCCTTTTTCTAGCAGCGGTCCATCTCGCAAGTCAGCCGGCCTAGTGTGCCTGTTTTGCATTTTTGTGTTCCGGAAGCCCGTTTTTCGTACCACTCCCAATTTTAATCCTCTCTTCATTTGTTATGTATGATACAGATGGAATCACAGGACCAAGTTGATTTTTTATGCAGACAACAACTTTCCAATCACACCAACCCTTCCCAAAATATAAACCAATTGAATCCTGATTCTTTTTATTCCATGCCTCCATATAATATGAACCAATTTAATCCTGTTATCTATCATACTTCTCCGCCCAATGGAATGTATCCTCTCAATCTTGATCTGCATAACACACATAGATTTTCCTATTAAGATATGTTGAATATTCTCATTAGCAACCCTCAATGTTCCCGATCGATCAAGGCTTTGAAAAAAGCAGCCAGAAACTCCTAAAATCCAAATAATTCTCAATCATCAATTGCTAAAAAGGATTGGACTACGAAAGAGGAGGAGACATTAACTGAGGCGTGGCTTCATATCTCTGTGGATGCTGATGCGGGAAATAACCAAAGAAAATGCTGCTATGTGGGCACGTGTCCTTGACATTTGGAAACAAAAAATGGGACATGACCACCAACACTGAGAAAAAATAATAGCTTGCAGTATCATTGGTTCTAAGTACGATCCGCAGTAAGCAAATTTGTTGCAAAGTATGAGCAGCTCGAACGACATCCACAGAGTGGTACCAACCCTAATGACTTGGTAAGACTGTTATTCTATCTCGAACATGGAGATAGAGTGATTATTCATTAGACTTATTTAATATTTATTTATTTCTCTTATGGATTTATATACATGATGTTGGAACTATAATCATTTGGTCTTAGTAGCTTTTGTTTCGGACTAGTCGAAAAAAAAATGCATATTTAAAATGTAGTGTTTGCATGTGTTTATAAGAATTCTGTTAGTATTCAGAATTATAGACGAAGTGCCTTTAATTGTTTTTTTCACGTAAACAATGTGAAAGAGATCTATGTTATAATTTCCAATATACATTGGGTAATAAAGTTTGGTAATTATAATCATGGTGGTGATTATCCTCAATGGATCTAGAAGTTTAATAGGAAAAATTGCACCATTCGTCTACTAATTATACCCGAGTTGCAGTTTCGTCCTTTAATTATTATTTTCTTACTTTTGATACACTATCATTTTGTTTTGGCAATTTTCTTCCAAATCGAGGTTCCGGTGCTCATTTTTGTTGGAAAGCTGATGTGGCGCCAGTCGGATTGTGCGCCACATCAGCTTTTCCAGCAAAAATGAGCACCAGAATCTCGATTTGGACGAAAATTGCCAAAAAAAGTGATAGTGTACCAAAAGTAAAAAAAAAATAATTAAAGGACGAGAGTGCAACTCGGGTATAATTTGTGGACGAATGGTGCAATTTTTCCAAGTTTAACAACACTTTGCAAAATATGTTATATTTTCATGTTTGATTTATTGATTTGCTAGGTGATAAAAGCATTACGCTTGTATGAGGATTTTTTTGGAAGCCCCTTCAAGTTTATTCATTGCTGGAAAATATTGGTTAAGAACCCGAAATGGTGCTAAAAAATGCTTACAAAGGCAAATGTATCCAACAAACAAGAAACAATCAATACCCCTTCTCGAACTGCAGACGATTCTCCTCATGAAACTATCATTGAAGAATCCTCAGCGCCCAAAGGTGTAAACAATGAAGAAATTGCTCGACAAGAGGGAAGGAAAAACTGCAAAGACAAAAAGCGGAAGCTAAATGAGGATAAAGGTGTAGTTGATGCATTGAACAGGTTACGAAGCACTTTAGAGAAACAAGTTGGCGTCAACCAAGCAAGCTTGAATATGAAAGAGCAAGCAATGAAAAAAGAAATGGAGTTGAAAGAGAAAGTGATGAGAAGAGAGATAGAATTGAAAGAAGCTGCCCAAAAACAGAGAAAAGAAGATCATGCAATTAAGATGAAAGAGCAAAGAAAACAACAAATCATGAACCAAGATTTATGTGTATTATCACCATCACTAAGAGCTTCTTATGAAGCGATGCAAGCTAAAATATTGAAAGATTGGGAAAATGAAATTCTTCACTAATTTTGACATTTCATATTCAGTGTCATGAAAAAGATTGTAGTCGGATTTATTTAGTTAATGTTTTACTTTGATTGGAATAAGTGAATTTTTTCTCTGAATGTTGAATTAGGTTGGAGCTTTCTTAGCTTTTATATGCTCTATTGTGTTGGTTCCACAAAAAGCATACAACATTCTGCCAAACGAAACGGAAAGTTTGATGAACTATCAAAATTTCAGCAACTTATAACATTCTGTCATACTCTATTCCAACCATCATAACTCTTACATACTTGATATTTTTCTA